AAATGGCAAGAGTAGGAATCCATGTCTTGTTCCTGATCTTAGAAGAAAAGCTTTCAGTTTTTCACTGTAGCATATGATGTTAGCTGTGGGCTTGTCATACATGGCCTTTATTATGTTGATGTACGTTCCTCTACACCTGCTTTTTGAGGGTTTTATCATAAATGCATGTTGAATTTTGTCAAATGCATTTTCTGCATCTATTGAGATGATCAAATGACTTGTATTCTTCATTTTTGTTAATGTGGTATATCATTGATGGATTGGCAAATGTTGAATCATCCTGTATCCCTGGAATAAGTCCCACTTGATTATGGTGTATGGTCTTTTCAGTGTGTTGTTGAATTCAGTTTGCTAATATTGTCTTGAGGAGTTCTGCATCTGTGTTCAACAGGGACATGGTCTGTGAGTGTGTGTGTGTGTGTGTGTGTGTGTGTGTGTGTGTGTGTGGTGTCTTTGTCTGGTTTTGGTATCAGGGTAATGCTGCCATGTAAAATGATTGGAAGCATTACCTCCTTTTCAGTTTTTTGGAAGAGCATGAGAAGGATATTAAATCTTCCTTAAATGTTTGGTAGAATTCACCAGTGAAACTGTTTGGGCCTCGACTTTTATTTGTTGGGAGTTTTTGATTCTGATTAAATCTCCTTAATGATTAGTTTATTCAGATTTTCTGTTTTTTCATGATCTAATCTTGGAAGACTATGTCTTTCTAGGAATTTGTCCATTTCTTCTAGGTTGTCCAATTTGTTGGCATGTAATTATTTATAGTAGTCTCTTATAATACTTTTTGTATTTCTGCGGTATAAGTTGTAACTTGTTTTTCATTTCTGACTTTATTTTTTGAGCCCTCTCTCTTTCTGTCTTGGTGAGTCTACATAAACGTTTGTCAATTTTGCTTATCTTTTCAAAGAACCAACTTTTAGTTTCACTGATCTTTTCTATTGTCTTCTTAGTCTCTATTTCATTTATTTCTGCTCTGATCTTCATTATTTACTTCCTTCTACTGACTTTGGGATTTGTTCTTTTTTTTTTCTAGTTCTTTAAGTGTAAAGTTAGATTGTTTATATAAGATTTTTCTTGTTTTTTTTTTTTGAGGTAGGCCTATATCACTCTGAACTTCTTTCTTAGAACTGCTTTTGTGGTGTCTCATAGATTGTGGTTGTATTCCCACTTTCATTTGTCTCAAAGCATTTTTTTTTCTCTTTTAATTTCTTCATTGACCCATTGGTTGTTCAGTAGCATGATGTTTAATCTCCACATGTTTGTGGTTTGGTTTTTTTTTTGTTTTTTTTTTTTAGTTTTCGTCTTGTAACTGATTTTTAGTTTCATACCATTGTGGTCAGAAAAGATGTGTGATATCATTTTGGTATTTTTAAATTTATTAAGACTTGTTTTGTAGCCTAATATTTAGTCTATCCTGGAGAATGTTTCATGTGCACTTAAGAAGAATGTGTATTCTGCTACTTTTGCATGAAATGTTCTGTACATATCTGTTAAGTCCAGCTGGTCTAATGGTCTTTAAAGCCAGTATTTCCTTATTGATTTTCTGTCTGGCTGATCTATCTATTGATGTAAGAGGGATATTAAAGTTCCTACTACTGTATTGCTGTCAATTTCTCCCCTTAGGTCTGCTAATATTTGCTAATATATATTGAGGTGCTTGTATGTTAGGTGCATAAATATTTACAAATATTATATCCTCTTGTTGGACTGACCCCTTTATCATTATGTCATGCCCTTCTTTGTCTTTTATTTACAGTCTTTGTTTTAAAGTCTATTTTGTCTGATGTAAGTATAGATACACAAGCTTTGTTTGGGTTTCTGTTTACTTGTAATATCTTTTTCAATCTCTACAATTTCAGTCTGTGTGCATATTTGCATCTAAAGTAAGTCTCTTGTAAGCAGTGTATAGATGGGTTTCAATTTTTTTATCTGTTTAGCTATTCTGTCTCTTAATTGGAGAATTTAGTTCATTTACATTTAAAGTAACCATTGATAGATATGGACTTATTACTATTTTATTAATTGTTTTCTGGCTGTTTTATAGTTCCTCTCGGTTGCTTTCTTGTTCGCTTGCTCTTTATCCTTATGATTTGATGACTTTCTTTAGTGCTATGCCTAGATTCCTTTCTTACTAGTGGATATACTTTTGTATATCCACTAGAGGTTTTTGCTTTGTTGGTACCATGAAGATCACATACAATATCCTATATATTAACAGTCTATTTTAAGTGGATAGCCAACTTAAATTTGAACACATTCTATAACTCTACATTTTAACCACCTGCCTACTGTTCTGTTTTTGATGTTACATTTTACATCTTTTTATTTTGTGTATCTTCCACTGGTTTTCATGGGGCCATGGGAGAGTGCAGGGCCAGGGCATACCTGCCCACTTTCACACAGTGGCAGAAAAGCACAGGGCCAGGGCCTACCTGTGCTATCAGGGCCAGGGCCGACCTGTGCAGGGTCCACCTGTGCTATCAAGGTAGAGGGAGAGGGCAAAAATGGCACCTTCCAGCACCTCTGTTCCCCAGAGGGAGTTCCCACAGGCCCTTGCCCCTCCAGCAGACCCTATAATATTAGCAAATAAATCTTTTCCACATATAATCTAGGTACTTTTCAAACTGCTGCCTTTGTGCTGGTCTCTTGGGTGAGTGAGTCTATATGCAAGCCCTTTAAAGGAGTATCTCAGTTCCCTACAGTCCCATTGGTTTTCAAAGTCAGGTGTTTTGGAGGCTCATCTTTTTGTTGCAGGTCCCAGGGTTGGAGTACCTGATGTGGGGCATGAGCCCCTCATTCCTCAGGGAGAAGCTCTGGATTTGTGAGATCTCTCCCAAGTGCGGGTCGCTGAATCAGGGGTGAGATTTTTGGCAAGGCCACACATGTCTCTGCCTCTCTGACCCATCTCAATGTGGCCCTTTTACTGTTTGTTGTGAAGGAGCTGATCACCTAGTTTTCAGATCTTCAGTGGGGATTGTTTCATATGTAGCTGTATATTCAGTGTGTCCATGGGAGGAGGTGAGTTCAGGATCTTCTGTGCCACCCCCCAGGATCACCACCCTCACATATTTAAAAAAATTATATCACATTCCTGCCATCTATGTGTGAACATAAAATTGTAAATGGAGCTTGCTTTATAATTCTAAATTTCCTATCGATATTAAGCTTTAATTTATACCAAGAATTATTTTATCTAAATCAATAGCTTTTTCATGGATGTATCTCTGTAGTGAGATAGACCATAAATGTAACCAGAAATATAAAGTTCTTAAAATTAACAGTCTCTGGAAGAAATGTTAACTGGTTTACTTGTCCAATACAGCAAAACTTCTAAACTTGCTTCTTCAGTCACATTTTGTGCATTTGTGTTTATTTGACTGATTTCCAGAGTTGAAATTAGCAATCAGAAAAGTTTGCAGAACTACAAAACAAAATATCTTCAGGACATCTATACAGAATAACAGCTTTTATGATAGTGTAATTTGACTTACAGAGAATGAAATTCATTGGCAAGATCTTTACTTTCATTCATCACTATTATTTGTCTGTCTTTAAGTATGTGATATAATAATTTGGTCTGTGGTCTTTAGTAAGGAAACATTTTGATTGCAAATCGAGGGTATATCTCTGATTCAATTAAAATTCCTACTATCTGTTCTTTGGCCTCCTGCATAATTACCAAAAATTCAGTACTTATATATATTCAAGACTTATATACAAGTCTTCGGGTATATATATCTATATATTTCTCCCATTCCATGTAAGGAATATCATGGAGGAATTTTAAAATTTCAAGAGATAGAGAAATTGCTTTGGGCTTACAAAATGCCATTGTGAAATCCTGACCCTGGAGTAATACATTATTTCAATGTCAGTTTGATAAACCTCTTGGCAAGTATTCATACAAAAGTAAAATGTACTTAGAATTAATTCAGTACTTCTAAAGATGGGTTAAAGTTTTTACCCAAAAAAGTGACTCCATAAATATGTTTAAACATGGATAAAGAAATCTAATGAAGATACAACCTAATAAGTAATTCAATAATTTTTAACATGGAAATAGCTGTTTAAATCTCACTCTGAAGTAGTTTAAAGTAAGGTATTATATCTAATGCCAAAGTGGATTTGGTAAAGAATTTTGGTTTAAGAAGATTTAGAGAGGACTTTATTTAGCATGTGAGGTTTTATAACTGATAAACTTATCTTCTTTTCTTTTTGAGATAAATACTTCTAGGAGTGATATGAAGAACATGAACTCTGTTTTGGTCTCTATGATTGGACTCTACCTCTTTTACCGTCCTTTTTCCTCTGTTTTAGTTACTATCTAGAAGTTCTGACTGATCACATAAAACCTTTTTTCACAGGGGAGGGTAGTTAAAAAAAGAGAAAGAGAAAGAAAAGTTTATGTGTCTTACACTTAAAAGGATCTTTTGGCTTTTCCCTTTACAGCTTCTTTTTCTTCCCCACCATTTGGTGTTTTTTTTTTTTTTGTGAATGTTTTTCATTAGTTATTTTTAAAGGTAATAAAGATGTGTGACAAAGTTATAGCTTCTGCATTTTTTCTAGTTTTACAGTTATGTTGGTTTCTGATCGTTTACAACAAGAAAATATGAAATTTATTTATATTAAATTGAAGGTGACTTCTAAAAATGGCTCTAGATTTACACAATTATTGTGAACAGTATTTCCCTACCCTTGGTGAAATCACTTTAAAGTCCTCTGTGTTGGGCTTTCTCGTCCTGCAATTCTGAAAACAATTCTGATTCAAGTCCAGCCAATTCCCTAGGTCCAGATCAGGAGTCTGTAGTAAATTTTGTTTTTCAGAAAGGATTTAAATCAACTTGAGGATGATAGATTTTCAGTAAGTTATTTAGAAAACTGGGGATGTTTGAGAAATAGTTGCTTATCATGTTGAGTTTGGCATTTTGGAGGAAAACCATGGCATCCCACAATCGTCCCTTGATCTCTGTAAAGACATGTGATTCTGGGATGGGTGACCCATGGGTCTGACTAAGTGTAACAAGGCTGTTTGTGGACATCTGGAGCTCAAAGTATGTCTAACATCTGCTAGACTGATGTTAAGATTTTTTGCGACTTTTTAAGCTCAATCTTTATAGTAAATCTATGCAATAAGAAAGCTGGCCTGAACTAAGGAACTTATGGGACTTTGCATTTTATATTCCTTTTTAGAGAGTGTACTTCTGCATCACAGTCACATAAGGAGTTTTTGTCTCTTCCCCAAAGTCTAGTGCCTTGAAGGATATAGATGATCATACACATAAGTGCTGCCAAACCATATACCTCAGACTCTGAAAACACTTATAATCATGAAGTGCAAAAAGTAATACTTTTATAATGGCAGTTTCAGTTTTTTGATGAGAACATTTAATTTGCTTTTAGTCAGGTTGTTACTGAAAATGAAATCTGTATTTCCTGAAACTTTACCTTTATCTATAAGTATTTTTAATTTTTTCTACTAATGATACAATACGAGGTACCTCCTGGCTTTTTATATAATTAGCATTATGTTTGCTAGGGACTTAATTTTCTTCTTCTTTTTTTAAGATTTATTTATTCATTTTAGAGAGACAGGGAGTGCAAGCAAGGGGAGGGGCAGAGAGAAGGAAAAAGAGAATCTCCAGCAGACTCCCCACTGAACATGGAGCCTGACCCAGGGCTTGATCTCACAACTCTGAGATCATGACCTATGCCGAAATCAAGAGTCAGAAGCTTAACCAACTGAGCCACCCAGGCACCCCAATAAATAATATTTAACTAATGTTTGACTAGGAACTTTACATAATGCCATTAGTTTTCCTCTGTATTTTCTGCCTTTTGAAATATAGCTTTGAATCCAAGAATTGAAGCATCTTTCGGTGCTTTATTGCTTCATTTGTTTATTTACTATTCAACATTATTAAATTGCCTCCTATGCACCATGCGTTATAACAGATGCTAAGGAGAGAAATATGAACAGTGCATGGATTATTTTTCAAGGAGCTTACATTTTGGTGGGAAAAGGAATATATATGTGCAAAACTATTGTAAGAAACAAGATATAAGCAAGAAACTATGGAAAGAGGCCTTTCTCTGTTTAGAGGTGCCCAGGTGGCATTCAAAAGGCAGATAAGGAACGCAGGGCATCCCAAGCCCTGGTATCCAGAAGGCCAGGGTCAAACAGGATATGCAGTTACTTTTCTAGGGTCAGAAAGCAGGAGGCACACCAAGGAAAGAGAATTGAATATTGGAGGTGAAGTCCTGGACAAAAAGATGGGGTTTAGATGAATCTTTGTCTTATGGGTAGTGGGCAACCACTGAGGCAGTGGACCATCAATATCAGATATGCATGAAGAGTGAAGAGAAACCTGAAGCAGAAAGAGCCGTAGTAGAAGATATTGTTAAAGTCCAGTCAGGAAACAAGGAAGACAGTAAAAATAGAGAAGACAGTAAAAATAGAGAAGGGAAGAGATTTAAGGGAAATCAAGGAGAAGTCCCTTAGAGACTGCTTGGAAGTAAGGGCTTCTAGGCTGAAGATGAGGCTTCTGATTTGCATTATTGCATGTAGGGTGGATGGAGGGAGCAAGGAGAGGAGCAGGTTGGTGATGGGGCTGGGGAAAGAAATGAGAGATTCTGTTGTGGTCAGACTGAAATTTAGGTGCCCAAGAGTCATTCAGGTGCAACTGTCCGGGAGGTAATTTATAAGTTGGCTCTGAGCCATAGAGAGATCAAATCTGGATATAATAGGTCTGGAAGTCAACAGTTCAGAGTTTGTAGTTATAAGGTGATTACCTTAATTTTGTCAGAGTCTGTGCCCATACTTTCAAAATTAATTGAAATTTAAATTTATGTCATTTAGACAAAACTCACAATTTATGCCGTTGTGGCCTACAGTGAGATAGCATCTCTTTACGTTGTTTTAGTGGACCCTACCAACATATTCACATTATCCACAGTTGTTAAACAGTGAATTTAAATGACGCCTCAATCAAAACTATGTTGGAAATACGTTGTGTTTTGTTTGTTTTGTGCTAGGACAGTATGAGGAGCTTTGAACTATACATGTGCAAGAAAGAATGAGGAATACTATATTTATTCTCCCTGATGGTGGGGTTTAAAATGCATTAATTTATGAGAGGACAAAGGATAAACAGCTTGAATGAGAAGTGATCTCATGAGACAACATCTGAGCTCTTTTTCATGTTATTTTATGATCCCCAGGATGGTATTAGCATTGTCAGAGGCCACTTGTATTGACAATAGTCCAGAGTTTTAAATCTCTGTTCTTTTCTTGGTGAAATTTTCTCATATTGCTGAGAATCCAGGAAATGCTTTAATCAATTGTTTTAAATCTGAAAACCACCTTTTATTTATCAGATCTTACAAAATTTTTAACATTTCTTTTTTATTTCCATAGCCTTTCCACAGATACCTTTATGGATCCACTTCTTATCTGAGAAAGGTTTTAGGTATGCAGGCAGTAATGTCTTTTGAGTGTGTGACTCTCAACTTGACTCTGACAAATTATTTAGAGATGCTGATTAGGTTACACAGGGGCCATGACCTTCAGGGGTTTTGCTGATTTGTCTGGTGGTTACCAGTCATTTTTCAAGGTCAACAGGCATGGGGCGGTGCTAAGAGAAGCCATCATATAGTGTGTAACTTGGTTTGAGATAGAATGTTGACCTCTTGTCATTAAAGGGGATAAGGGGCAGATCACAGCCAAGGCTGATGCCTAAAAGTGTGATGATACTTCTAGGATGTCACAGCAGGAATCTCAATAGCTGTTCAATTAAAGTCAGATGTTCCACAGAAGAAGGGACATGGTATGCATTACAATAAGCTGAAGGGCATGATCCTTTCACTTTGGAGGGGTAGAAAGTCTTACTCAGACGGCCATGTGGTTCTTAATAAGAAGAGTTTGTTCTCTGACGAGATGAACCGTATAATTTTCTAGTTCCATAGCAAAATGTTCATGGTGGATTTTGCGTGGTTTATCTTATCTTTTGGTTATAGAATTGTCTCTAGCATCTCATCATCCAACCGTCTCCACCCCTTTTTGCTGTACTTCTGCTGTAATTAAGTTTTGAGAGAGAAGAGAGTGTGGGAGTTTGCCCTTGTTAAAGACAGGTTAATTCTAGACATGGCTTTACATGTTGACATTTCCCAGTTAGCTCACAGCTCATAGTAGAATTCTGTTGAAACCGTGCCATGATATACTGCCAGCAAGTGGGAGTGGTGAAAAATGCTAGGAAGGCTAGTGACGGCTAAAATAACACAAAATAGTACTGCTGTCATCACCTGTTTCGGCAACACAGACCTTACCAACAGTGCAGCAAGGAGACCCCTACATACTTGATAGTGTATGAAGGAGGAATAGTTAGCTTGCATCGTTGTGATCATTTTTAAAGTGAAAAAATAGTAAAATTTTTTTTAAAAAAAGAGGACCTAAATCATCTTCTTATATTAAACAAGCTGGCCACCGGATGGTTTACCTACCCCCCTTATTTATTTTTATTTAAAATGTTTTGTCTGTATTATTCCTTTCAGTTTGAAATCAACTTTCAGTTTCTTTCCTTCAGGGAGAAGACAATCATTTAGTCCTTTAAAGTACTTGCTTTGTGTAATAGCCAAATTTTAGGGAAATATAAATGAAAACCACTTGCTGTGATTAAATTTGAAACTAACAAATACTTCCATGCATGCAACGTAACCATTTTTTTTCCTGACATGATTATTTTGTGCAAGATACCCTATTTGTAAAATGTTTGCATTTGGCTCATCATAAAAGGTGTTTTCTTTTTTTTTCCTCTGAAAAATACCAATTAGCCCTGATTATGTGTTGTCACTCACTTTATGTTCTTTTTCCAATGCAAGAAAAAATAAACAAAACACAGAAGTTGGTCTTAAATATCAAAGATCAAACAAGATGAAGAAAAAAATCCATTACCCTATGGACTCTTGGAAATTAAAATATAAAAGTCTCCTGAAATAGCACTGCTTTATGTAATGTTGCTGTGAAGCACAGGCAAAAGCCTGTTTATATTAATCATCCTTTTCTATAGCTTCCATTGGCAATCAACTGCTGCATTTCAGCTGCAAGAGCTTACCTTACCAATGTTTTCTGTCACTGGGTAGTACTGGAAAATGTTTTCACAAGCCTCGAATATACCAGATGGAGACTACACTGTCTCCTAAACACTGACAAATCATTTATTAATTTTCGTCGTGGTGATTAAAACCAGTCAAGTATAAGGGAATCTGGAAGCAAATTAAACACGTATTTATTCTAAGCTGGAAGTTTTCCTTAAAGTCTTTCTGATTTTCAGAAAGTTTACATTCATTTGTTCTTGTTCACCTTCTGCTAATGTCGATATATTTAGCATTTAGCTTTTAGGTAGATCTGCCTTGGAAAAGTTGCTTATTAAAGGAAATCCTTAGATAACTACAACTGTCCCATATTACTGTGACTTTTTATTACATGACTTAGCAGTATTCTGCATAATCATACATCGTAAAAGCCTAATATTTCTTGGAGTCTGTTGGTCCTTCTTAGAATACCCCTCAAGCTTTCCTTGATTGTGATAATTCAGAATATTCTGACCTATCTTTCCATTCATGTTTAAATACTTAATTTTGTATGTGAGATAATTAATACTTAATATTTGCTGTTAAGCACTCTGATGTCTTAACCCCTATTTTTCTAGCATTAATAGTGGAAAGGATTATAAACATCTACTCAAACAACACATTCTTATCTTTCATAAGTCAGTTCAGACATCACTACTTCTCCCTCTACTGTGAGGTGTTTCTTCTTCCCAAGATATGTTTTGAGTGTTAACTATCTAAACAATATAGAGGCTTATACAGCAGCTTTTGTGTTAGGAATTTCTCTTTCTATTTATATCATTTTCTGGTCCTTAAACCCATATTGTGTAAGTCAAACAGTTTTTTTTTAATTTTTTTATTGTTATGTTAATCACCATATATTACATAATTTGTTTTGGTGTACTGTTCCATGATTCATTGTTTGTTCATAACACCCAGTGCTCCATGCAGAACGTGCCCTCCTCAATACCCATCACCAGGCTAACCCATCCCCCCACCCTCCTCCCCTCCAGAAACCTCAGTTTGTTTTTCAGAGTCCATCATCTCTCCTGGTTCGTCTCCCCCTCTGACTTACTCCCCTTCATTCTTCCTCTCCTGCTATCTTCTTCTTTTTCTTTTTTCTTAACATATGTTGCGTTATTTGTTTCAGAAGTACAGATCTGTGATTCAACAGTCTTACACAATTCACAGCGCTCACCGTGGCACATATCTTCCCCAATGTCCATCACCCAGCCACCCCATCCCTCCCACCCCCGACCACTCCAGCAACCCTCAGTTTGTTCCTGAGATTAAGAATTCCTCATATCAGTGAGGTCATATGATACATGTCTTTCTCTGATTGACTTATTTCACTCAGCACAACACCCTCCAGTTCCATCCACATCATTGCAAATGGCAAGATCTCATTCCTTTTGATGGCTGCATAATATTCCATTGTGTATATACACCACATCTTCTTTATCCATTCATCTGTCGATGGTAAGTCAAACAGTTTTTGAAATGGAAAGGGAAAGGGAAAAAAGTGACTTAAAATGACAAAAACTTAAAGTTTCATTATTCTTAAAATTACATTATTACTTAAAGTTACATTATCACTGTTATCTCTCAATAGAATGGGTTTTCTCACCCAGTGGGTGCCTGCTGGGGAGAAGAAAGAGAAATACTGCAGTGAGGCTGCCTTCTACCCAGGGATTTGTACTTTCACCAAAGATGCTATATGACAACATAGATTTTTTTTTTTTTGAAATAGTTCTTGTTCTGAAAGTCGGCACAGTCCAGTATGAGTGGAAGAGAATTAGGAGGTAGATTGGTGAATAGAACATTAGAATTCACTGTGAGAATTCTAATACCTGAGAACTACCATGTGCACCCAACTTGACCAGGATAATCCAAGGGGGACTCCTGCCTGAGGAGAGAATTGAGCTAATAATTTAAGCATTAACTTTAGCCAAGCAGAAGCTTAAACTCTCTGCAACTTAACATGTAGGCAAACTTTTACACACAAAAAAGAATTTTATGCATTAAACATTAATCTGTGTTTGTATATTAGTTTAAAAATAATCTATAGATTCATCTTCAGTTGTAGACTGTATTAGTTCAAACTGAACCTAGAAAAAGGTATTTTTGAATGCCTTTTTGATGAGACTATATATTCATTCAGTAATGATTTCAGTCAGATTCTAGGGCCTTAACTACCATAATCCACTAAGATTTGATTAGCACCTGGCTGCTTGTATGGTGAGATCAAGTGCAGCAGAATGTGGGGGAAGAGGTTGGACTCAAGTTAGATGAACTTGAGCCTGGCCAGGCTCTGCTGCTTACCAGCTGTGACCTCTGGCAT